AAAAATTTATAATTTTATATTCAACCAAAAAAATCAAACTTATTGAGCGCTAGATATAATAATTTTGTTATAAATAAAGAGAAAGTTTTTTTTGGGAGAAAATTTGTAATTTATTCAATGCATTTAAATTGAAAGTTTAAAAAAACGTTTGTTTAAAGACACTCTCATGTATTAGTATTATCAGTGATAGAGATAAAAAAAATTGTCGATAAGATCTTTAAAATGCATATTTACAACTGATTTATATATATATATATTATACACTATATATATATATATATATATATATATATATATACTGTATTTATATTTTATATATTGATGTCTCGTACCAATATTATCGTTATTATTATTATTATTAATTTTTTTTGGTACGAAATATTAGTCTACTGTATATATAATTTTTTTTCTACAACAAAAATATAGTTGTCGTATAAAATAAAACATTAAAATTCATTGCTTTTTTTAGAAACACAATATTTTCACTGTTATTATTATTATTATTATTATTATTATTATTATTATTATTATTATTATTATTATTATTACTAATATAAAACTAATTTTTTATTTGACAATAAGTGACAATAGAATTGATTTTTTTTAAAACACATGATTTATAAATTTATAAAATTTAATTATAAAAATTGTTTCAAATTGTTTTTATTTTTCTTCAATCATATATATAAATTATATATTTATTTTTAAATTTACCATTAAATAACATACTGTACAATTTATGACATACATATAAACGGTATATAAGGTATTTATATTATATATATATATATCTATATACAGTATATACAGTATAGCATATATTGTTTATATATATAAAAAATAATCGAAAATATATAAATTATTCATTTAATATTTCTCAAAATAAATTTTTTTATTAAATATAAAATATATGATAGCCTATTATGGATCACCAAATAACTGTCATTAAATGTCATAAAATACTATTAATTATATATTTTATTACACACACACATAAGTCAAAGTATATAATATTTATTTTTTATATTTTATTAGCAACAAAAAAAATAATAAATTTAAATAATATAAATTAATGTCAATTTAATAATAATAATAATAAGTGACTCACATGTAGGTGCTGGGGAAGACCAGGTGCCGTTGTCCATACATATGGCCAATGGCTCACCCATTATCACATAACCACTATTGCACGCGTATTGTACGTAATCACCGGCCAAATAGTGTGTATTATCCAATAGTCGACCATTGATTGGAGGTACAGGTGGTTCACAGCTTATGGCTAAATAATAATAATAATAATAAATTATATATTATATTTATAATTTTTATATAAAAAAATTTAAAATTAATTTGTTATTATTAATAGTATTTTACAATAAAAAAAATAAAATTATATTTTAAAATAAAAACAATTTTATCAACAAAAATAATGAAAAAATGATGTTTTATTAATGCTATTATTGAGTAATATCTATAAATATTATGTTCAATATGTCTTGCAATGAAATTAATTTGAAAAAATATATATAATTTATTTGTTGGAAAATTGAAAAATTAAATTTTCGTATAGAAAAACAATATAAATAAAATAATAAAAACTGATGTTATTTTTATTATTTTTTTAAAAAAAAAAATCTATAGAATTAGAGTTCAATAAAAATACAATACATAAAATATATTGTTAAAAAAATTTAGTGTATATATATTTGGTCATTTTTAAAAAAATAAAAATTTTATACAATAACATATTATATATTGAATACTGTAGTTTTTATACTATAATAAATGATATCTATTTGACAAATATTGTGTGATAATATTTATATATATATAAAAAACAATACACACTTTTTTTTTGAATGGAAATCAATAGATAATCTCACAAATAATTATTAGTTTTTTATTTTTATAAAAAAATAAAAAATCAAATAAAAAATGTTTAGTTTGTAGCTATATATATATATATATTTATATCTATATATAGGTATATATATATACTGTATCTAACAATATAACTATAAATATATGTAATATTTTAGCGATATATACAATATATATATATATATATATATATATATATATATATATATATATATATATTATATATATATATATATATATATAATAAATTTATCTATTGTTTGACTGATGAATATATAGTTTGTGTTCATTTTGTTGGAAAAGCACTCAAAACGGATTAAATTCAATGAAAAGTGACACAACATTTGGCAACTTTTTTTTAAATACATTCAATACATTAGGTTTTAAATGAGTGGACACAGCACTCAAAGTAATAAAAAATATATATATATTTAATATTTTTATCACAAATACAATAATAATAATAATAATAATACATAATATGTTCATTGAATGAAAAAAAATTGTGAGAGAAAGAGAGCTATAAAATTATACTTATATACAAAAAAGATGTCCATATTTTTTAAAAAATAATTTTATTTTATAGCTTTCTATGGATTTTTTTGTTGTTGATATAAAATAAAAATATGTTTGAATTTTTCGATAACATATTTTATAATATTATATACACACAAAAAATGAAAATAATTTTTTTTGACAACAATAATGTTATAATAATATTTTTGATTTTTATTAAATTCATGGGATCTATAATTTTTATTACACCCAATTCACGGTATAGTATGTAATCATGTATGTTATATAAATGTGCCTAAAAAATTTTTCTACAAATTTAAATCATAAATACTAATAGTAATAATAATTATAATATAGAAATATTTAATTGCAAACTATAACACAATTTTTTGTTTAAAAAAAAATCAAATGTCATTTCACTAAAAGTATATAATTAAAAATTACTCAATTCATAAAAATTATTACAACATTTACAATATTACATTAAATTTTTTTTTTAAATAAATTATTTATAAATACTAAAACTTTTTTAACAGATTTTATTATTATTATTGCTAAAAGCAATTTCTACATTAAAAAAAATTTGTTTCAACAATATTTCTTTTTATACTATTTTTATTTATTTATATATATATATATATAGTACAGTATATCTTAATATTTTTAAAAGATTATAGAAAAATACTATTGATTTAAAAGTAAATACAATACTGTCTATAAATTGTTTTGTTATTTTTTAAAAAATGTATTTATTTTTTTGCAATACAAAAAAATACAATATCATAATATTTAGTATATTATTCATAAGAGTATTGAAACAACAAAAATGTTATCCAAAAAAATAAAATAAAGATATAAAATAAAATCTATTGTAAAAAAAAAATTTAAATAAACAAATATTGAAGTAAATACATATTCAAATGCAAATGTTTTGATAATAATAATAATAGTAATAATAATAATAATACCCTAAAATTTTACACAAATTGTTTAATAGTATGAAACAAAAAATTTGAAAATTAAATTTAAAAAAATAATATATTGTAAAATAAAGCATATTGAAAATGATCTAAAAATTATATTTAAAATTTAATAAGATATTTTAGTAGAATATTCTCTAAAAATTTTTATAAGTTTTTTTTTTGATTAATTATTTATTATAAAACAAAAGATATTAATAGATAAATACAAATAAGTTTAAACATGATTTTTTTTATATATAAAAATAAATCTGTTATTTTAAAACCATTTATTAAAATAACAATAGCAATCTTTTAGTGTTTATATTTATATAATAATATATTATTAATAATAATAATCTTCAATAACAATATGGCTAAAATGTATTGAATGCAGATTTTGTTTTGTTAATAATGTTTTATATCATAATATATAAAAAAAACTTGAAATAAATCTATTGTTTGTTAGACATAATGTATTATACTGTATATACAGTATTAGTATTTTTAAGCAAATATAAACTATAATTAAAGTGTGGGAGTATTAGAGGCTTACTATCAATAGATACGATATATTTGTTATTATAAATTTATTACAAGACTACAAATTGTTAAGCATTTAAAATCAAATTTTGTTTTAATTCCAATATATATATATATATTAAAAAATATCTCTAAAATTAAAGTAAATGCATTTATGTCTCTTATGCCATTATAAATGAAAATCTCATTTGAATTATCCATAAAAAGTGAGTTCAATTGATGTCTTTCATTCAGAAAATGTAGAATAAATTCAATGGATTTTATTTCATTTATAATAATATAAATTTATATATAATATATATATATAAGAGATTTTTTTCTCTAAATTCTTAATAAAATAAATAATTTTTTTTAAATAAAATTTCACGATTGAATGAAATTTCAATTTAAGGAATTAAATATATATATATATATATATATATATACTTATATTGATATATACTTAATAGAAAAAGGGTCCCAAAAAAAAATCAATGCATTTTTTTTATTCATTTAAGTAACTTGAATAAGTGTATGATTAAACTATACATTTAAATATTTATAAATTAATTTTGAAAATGTCTAGTTATATAATTGTATTATAAATAAAAATTTATACGTATTTATAATAGAATATATATATTTATATTAAAAAATTAAAAAAAATTATTTTCATGTTTTTGATATAAAAAGAAAATTAATTAAAAAAAAATTATTTTTGCCTAAATGTTACATTATTTGTTTGCCATGTATTTACTGTAATTGATTATTATTTAATAAATAACGACAAAACTAAAAAAAAATAAAAATTATGGAAAAAAATAATTTTGATGTTTTTTATATATATATAAAATAATTTGCATACATATTAATAAATAAGATAAAAAAAACCACTATTTTCTACTAACATTAACAACAACTAAAAAAATAGTTTAATCAATATTTTTTTTGATGATCTTTGTAAAAAAAACTATCATGATAATTTTTCAATAACAACAACAACAAATAAATCAATTAATAAAATCTAATTATAAGTTAATATATTAAATATATATATAATTTATATATTTAAAAAATTATATATTTAAAAAAAATTTATATATAAATTTGTTTTGAAGCATGACTTACCCTCACATTCAGGTATACCATGACTCCAGGTCTGGTTTTTTAAGCACGTGATAATCGCCGGACCTATTAGTCTGTAGCCAACTGTACACGAAAACTGTACGCGCGATCCGTACGTACGGTTGTGTTCACTGACCCGCAGATAGAGATCGTCGTCAGTGTTTAGTTGCGGACATTCAATCACTGGTAGATATAAATAGACAAATAAAATGAAATATTTTGGTTTGGGTTGGGTTTGTATATCAATTATAATATAAAAAAGTTCTTTTATTTATACTTTAGTTTAATATGTATATAATCTACTGTTACTTTTAATAATAGACAATAATTTTAACTTTTTTTCTAACTACTAAGTAATAATTATTATGATAATAATAAAATAATTTTTTTGTATGTTATGTAACTTATTATCGTTAGTTGAAGTTTCATATATACAGTATATAATAATACATTTATATATATTGTATATATAGTTTATGTCAGCACAGGAAGGAAAGTATGAGTGTAAGGATAGAGAGGATATGTTCAGAGAGAGAGAAAGAAAGAGAGAGAGAGAGAGAGAGAGAGAGCTCTGAAAGATAGCCGACCAACAAATAAAAGATGTTTTCATATATCCTAATGAATAAAAGTAATTTTTGGCGACAAAAAAAATCTGATATTTAATGAATTGAATGCCCATTGAGTCCGATAAAGAGTATATATATATGATCTCTCTCTCTCTCTCTCTCTCTCTCTCTCTCTCTTTCAACTAATTTTCTTTCTAATATTAAATGACTCCACAGTATAGATCAGTAATAATAATAATAATAATATTGTATATGAGTATTGTATATAACATGTATTTTTAGCTAACATTTGATACCATTATCATTAGTTCATAATAACTTATTTTGCATTCAATGATTATTATTGAAACAACTTTGTGTATTGATTTATTAAGTATATATATATATAGTATTATTTTTATTACTAGTATATCATTATAATTTTTTTTTGGTGTAAAATGATTAAACTTTATATAAATGTTTTTGTATGTTAGCAATATTTAATAGTACAGTAAATTAATTATTTAAAAAAATCAATTTTTTGGTATATTTCATATTTTTTTCTAATAAAATAGTAGTATTATTATTACTAAAAATATTATTATTACTATAATGCTAAATTGTTGGAAAAAATGCATTTGTACAAATATTATTAATATTAATATAGTAATCAATTGAATCAAATATCAATAAAAACAAATTTTTAAAAAAAATAAAAGTTCTAAATATTAACATAATTTAAATATACAGACAAAACAATTTTGTTATATTATACTTTTTAAAAAAAATTGTCTCCAAATATATATATATATATGAAAATATCTAAATATTTAATTTTATGTATGTATTGTATATCAGTTTTGGGAGCACACCGACACCCAGTACAACAACAACAACAACACAAAAAAACGGTTTAATATAAATAATTAAATTTTGACAAATTGTTTTAGCATTTTTTTTTGTATCTCACACTAGTGTGAAACATATGTTTCAACAACAAAAAAATACATACATTTATTTAATAAAAATTTTTTTTATATACAATATTTTTTTTCGGTGTAATCCAGATGTTTCAACAAGAAATTCATTTACAACTATTTTTGAAAGCATATTCACACTCTTTTAGTACTAAATATACTGTATATATATATATATATATCGTGTATACTGTATATAGTATTAGTAGCAATAGTATAAGTAGAGCACAGGTAGGCCGGAGCTGAGCTGAGGGATTCTTGCAAATCATATATAAAGAGAATATATATATATATATAAATGCTTTTTTAAGGGCAAAAATATTGATCATATATTTTTCAGCCTTTAAAGACTCATTTCCTATTGAAACTACTTTCTACTCTCTCTACTCTCTCTCTCTCTCTCTCTCTCTCTCTCTCTCTCTCTCTCTCTCTCTCTCTCTCTCTCTCTCTCAACACACACTTATAGGTTTTATGAATCAGTTATATATATATATAAGTATTTTTTTTGAATAAAGAAATTTAATATAAAAAGCCATTCTTTAAGGGGTTTTCATATAAGGATATAATATCTATAAATTTTTTTCTATAAAAATATATAATATTTGGCTCTCAATAGAGAAGATATGAGATTTTTTTTCTGAACAAAAAATTTGTCTTCAAAAATAAAATTTGTTTTATTATATGTGTTATTTATTTTTATTTTTTTGCTGCTCTAACACTTAGAAATATACAGTAAGTTTAAATTGATATACGATATAGATTTAGTTTAGTTTTTTTTAATAAGATATGAGAAATTTTTTTATATATAACTTTATATTATATAATATATATATATACCTATATTAAAAAAATTTGTATATGTATTGTGTTTGTGTGTGTGATTTAATTAAACATTTAATTAAACAAAAATACAATATATTAATATATTAGTAAAAAAATGAAAGTTAAAACTAACAATAAAAATTAAGTGTAAAAATATTTGATGACAAAGTTGTTTGACAAAAAATAAATATAAAAATATGTTAACAAATTTTCTAAAAAATTATATATAAAAATATTTTTTTGCTAATAATACAATTTTATACTCTCTATATATATTATAACAGTTTATATGATATAAATACTGTACAATAAATAATAAAAAAAATTCAATATTTATGTTCATTTTTATGTACAGTTATTTCTGTAGATATTTTTCCACATTTTTGAACACAATTTTACAAATATATGTATTAAAATATATTATTAGTATTTTTTATACCATATAAATAGTTATAATACTGAATTATAATTATGGCCTAAATAAACCATATATTATTATATTTTAATATACAACAATTTATCAAATAGTTTACAATATTATAACATTATTTTTTTCAACAACAAAAAAATCTATTTTAACAACAAACTAATAGTGAGAAATATATATATATTCAATGAGTTTATTTTAAATTGATTTTCTTTGTTTTTTTTGGTATTTATTTTTATATTTTGTTGAGGAAATTAATTCACTTTATATTTTTTGTTTGTCTGTTTGAAAATACTTTTTTTTAATGACCGATAATATTATATATATTTATGTGTTTGGGTTTCTTTCAAACGACTTTCAACCAACAAAAAAATAAATAAAATAAAAACAATAGCAAAATAGCAAAACATATATATATAAAAAATATATAAATAATTCAAAAGTTTTATCATTTTTTTTTATTTGTTGGTTGGCTTTCACTTAATGGTCTCTATTTTTCTATCTATCTTTCTTTCTATCTTTTCTATCATTGAATAGGGTTTGAGTTAGTAAAACAAGCAAAAAAATAATAGTAATAATTTTTATTTTTTGGTTACGATAAGACTCATATGTTTGTTTAGATATATATACGGTATATATAAAAATATATATATATTTTATATCCTGTATTATGCATAATATAATACTGTCTATGATATTATACTATGATATTATTTAGTATTATGAGTATACATAGTAAAAATATTTTCTCAACTATTCAAGTAAATTGTATTATTATTATTTTATTTTTTTGTTATTGCGTATATATACTGTATATCCTATTTACATTAAATTTGATTATATAATATATATATATATATATAATATTTATTCATAACTATGCCCGAAAACAATACAATATTGTACTGAATATATTAATATACGATATATAATGGAAACAAAGATAAATAAATGTTTGTTATTAGAAAAATATTTGTCTAAATAATTATTTGATAAATTAATTAAATTAATAATAATATAAAGCTTAGAAATTAGCTTTAAATGTCAATTGAAATGAACTTTTAAGATTTAAAAAAATAAAAAATTTATAGTATCAAAAACTAAATTTTTAAACAAAAAAAATAAATTCTATATTTAAACTATTAACAAATTTAAGTTTACTAAAAATTATATAATTTTATCGATTTTTTTAACAACAAAAAAATTAATTTAAACTTTGAGCCAAATTAAAACTGTCAAACTGTAAGAGACAATAAACCAAAAATTTAATTATTATTATTATACAAAACTTTGCAATTAGTTATTTGCTGAAAATATTATAGTCCATTAATCTAATTAACGTATTAAATTTGTATTGAATATATATATACAGTATATACTGTATACAGTGTATAAACTTACAATAATTTCTTGCTAAAAAGTTTTTTGTTATGTAATCAAATATTTGACTATAGATTTAAAAGTATTAAAAAAAGAGTTTTTACATTATTTATATATTATTTCATTAAATTTGGCTTTTCTTTACATATCAATAGTTATATCGTTGATTACACACATCAGGTTATTCAATCCCAATACACAACACAAACACACACACACACACACACACACACACACACACTAACTCACTCACTCACTCACTCACTCACACACACACACACACATAATATAGTGGGTGTCTAATAAATCAATTTGCCAACACATACATACATACATACACACATAAATAGAAAGAGAATAATAGTCATACAAACAGAATATTCTGTATATAAATATATTGTGTTTGTTCACAATATATAAAAAAAACGATAAAATTATTTACTGGATATTTAATACTGTATTACATGTATTATGTATCAATATAATTATAATACCATATTATAAGTAATTGAAAAAATAAGTTACTAACTTACATTATGCATAGGATATATACTACAGTATTTATTAAATTATTAAATGTTAATTTGAGATAATGTTGTAAAATATATAGTATACAGTATACAATAAATTTATAATTATATATCAATATATTATGTTTTAATTTGTTTATGTGTATGTGTGTATATATATATCAATATGTGTAGTGTTTATACTATTATGCAATAATTGTACAAACCTTTGCATTTTGGAGGACTATCAGACCAGAGACCGCTGGTAAGGCATGTGATCTCCTGAGTGCCATAAAGATAGTAGCCTTCAACGCATGAGAAGCGAGCCCTATCATGCATACGGTTCCCCTCGACCGACATCACACGATTGGCGTCAAATGAATCGATGAGTGGACACTCAACATCTGGAGGTTAAAAAACATGACCACAAAAAAACAATATTTAGATAAATATCAGTCGTTAGTCAATGATTAGTAGTGTCATAATGGGGAGAAAGAGAGAGAGAGAGAGAGAGAGAGAGAGGGGGGGAGCATAACATCGACAAAATAGTTATCGACTAAAATTGACACCAGATTTCAATTGATATTCAATTTGTGGCAATAAAGTTGAGAAAAGTTAGTTAAAAGTCATGTGCCATTCAATTGGGTAGTCATTGATATAATATCAGAGATAAGATTTTCAAAAAAAATCTAAAGGAGCAGCTATTGATTGAATGAATGATTGCTAAGACACACACACACACACACACACACACACACACACACACACAGAGAGAGAGAGAGAGAGAGAGAGAGAGAGAGAGAGAGAGAGAGATTTCAATCAATAGCCGTAAACATACAAAACAAAAAAGTCAAGTAAATAATAGATCTTTTTAACAACAAAGAAAACTTTTTACTTTTATATAATATAAAAGTATTAAGTTATAAGCATTATATAACTTTTTCAAACAAAATATTTTATACAAAACTTTGTCATTAAATAAGTTAATTTTTAGATATATATATATATACAGTAGATTTTATAACTTTAAACAAAGTATAGTTAGTATATATATATAGAAATTAATCATTATAAACTAATAACTGTTAATCAAACAAAAATATTTATAATTAAGTTTAATTAAAAATTATTATTATACAGGAAATAATTTTTGACAACATGTTAATGTCAATCATTATAATTAGATTTATTTTATTTTGTTGTTGTTGTTGTTACTTTTAAGCTATTTAATAATTTAGTAATAGTAATATAATAATAAAAATATTTAATTTTATATATTTAATAATAATAATAATAAATGTAGACATGCAAATTTTTGCTCTAAGTTATATTAGCATATATGATATAAATAACCATATATATATATATATATATATATATATATATAATATATATAGTATTAATGTATTAATGTATTACAAATATAAAGTCAAAAAATTTTTTTGTTGATTTAAATGATTAGATTATAAATAGTGTAATAATAATAATAATATTACTAAAAAATAATAATAATATTACTAAAATAATAATAATAAGTGTCACTACTCTTGATTTTAAATGTAAAATAAATAACATTTATTTTTATTTTGATATTATATTTATAGAAAATCTTTGAAGATATCACTTTGAAATTAAATTTAGAGAAAAATAAATTCTCAGAAACTTTTATTTTTATTTTTTTTCTATTTATTTGTGTTCATTGAGTATATATATATATAAGTTGAATAAGTATCAACTAATACTACTTATTGAGAAATAAGCTAATATTATATTAGTAATATAACTGTCTATAATAAACTGTATATACTGTATATATGTCTATTGCTTATCACTTAAAATGCCCGAAAGGCATTCAAAGTTATTCAACAAAATTGAGTCTAAAATAAATTATTTGTTAGTATAGTTTTTATATATGATGAAGCAAAATATGCTGTCCATACTATTTAAGTAAGTATTGATATTAATTTTAATATTATTCACATAGTTTTTTATTTTATTGAATTACTACTGTATGACATACGATATAATAATATAAAAATAATTTGTGTTGATATATATAGTATATACAGGTATAATAAATATAACACGAAAAAAATATTTAATTAATTAAATAAATTTTAATTAAATAAAAATAATATATTTTAATGGTACATTAAAAATATTTTAATTAATTATCATTTTTAGCTAAATATAATGCAATAATTTTCAAAAATCTGTAAAAAAAATACTGACTATAGTTATATTATTTTATCAAACAGTAAAAATAATTTAATATTAAATTAAATATGTTATTGTAAACAAAATTAATATTATTATAAATCAATCCGATAACTAATATCAAAATTATTTAAGACGATTAAATATTTTATACTTATTATAAGCAATAAAAACTTTAAACTAAAAATTTATTGTACTTTAAATACTATGCAAAATAAACTATAAAATAATTTTTATAAAGATTTTCACAAAAAATCGATGTTTTCTAAGTTACGTTAAATAAATAAATATTTTATTAGTTTTTAGTAAATATATCATTTAATATTATCAAATTTATATACAATATTATTTCATGCTTTAATAATAATTGTATAAATTGATATTTAAAACTTATTTATAACAGTATATATATATATATAAATTGTTAACTAAATCGATGATTTATTTTAATAAATTGTTATTTTTACAATTATAAAATAAATAAAATATAATTTTTCTAATTATAAGATATAAATCATTGATTTATATTAATAGTTTTTTAAAAAAATAATTTTATAAATATATTTTTCCAAATTATTTATTTAATAAAACAAAAAGAGAGAGATATTTTTGTTTAGTATACTGTAATAAAAATAATAATAGCAATAATAAGAAAATAAAATCAATATTATCGTAAATTTCTATATTTTCTTTAAAATTAACATAATTTTATTTTTAAAATTTTTTTATCAAAAAAAAATTCACTAAAATGATTTTTATTTGCAAATTTTTATACATGATAACGATTTTATCCAATGAGTCAATTGTGTGTACATTTGAAAAGTATTTTTAAAAAATAAAATATTATATTTACTTTTTATAATAAATATTAAAATCAATAACTAAACAGTATATATATTAGTAGTAACTGTATAAAATTAAAAAAATATAACTTATATTGAATTTATTTAATAAATTATAAAATGTAAATTACAATTTATGATTAATTGATTATACCAACAACAACAAAAATTATAAAATTGTTATATATAAAAAAAATAATTTTATCAATAATTTTCTTTAAAAATGTCAAATACATTAATTAGATTAATGAGAATATTGTTGGGAATAGAAAAAGATATGATTTTTTGTTTGTTAATATTTTTTTTTTGAAAAAATAAACAAAAAATACTTGTTAGAAAATAAATCTATTTTTAAAAAATATTTCATATGTTTTCAAACAAATATTCTTTTAGCTATTTATTTACATTTTTGAAAATATATTGAATTTCATAATTTCTATTTAATATTAATATTTTGTTTTGGTCTATTTATATGTATAATTAAAATATATATTATGATTTGTTATTTTTTTTTATTAACAGATCTATTAATATTTTGTTAAACTTTTATATACTATTATAGAGAAGTAAATATCTATGACTTCAAAAATTAATTTAATTTAAAATTATATATATTTATTGTATATTATGAAAAACAAACTAAATTATTAACAAAGTAAAGCTTACACAGAAACACATATACAACACATACACACATATACAACACATACACACACACATACACACATATACATACACACACACACATACATACACCTGGGCGTCATATTTATAAATATTTAAATTTATGATAAATTTAAAAATATTTTATTTAATATTACAATTTTGTAATTAATAATTAATTATTTTTTGAAAAAAATAAACTACACGTAATAAATGTAAAATCTATTTTAATAACAATTCATAGAGATTATTTAATAATTAATTAAAAAATAAATAAATAATTCATATATAATATTTTCCATGTAATTTATAAATGAATTACTGAACATTTATTTTTTTTAAATATAAAGCTATTAATTATTTAAATATATATTAAAAGACTTACTCACTCTCTCTCTCTCTAATTCAGTGATAACATTGTGAATGACTCTAAATATTTAAATTAAATTAATTTCAAATGACTGAACAAAATAGTGGCACAGAATTTAATTTCTATCTCTAAAAATATATTCTGTAAATAAATAAATACAATATATATATAGAGTATATACTGTATATATTAAATATACAGTCAGTCTATTCACATTATAAACAGAATATTCTTTAATGGGATTAATCAACATATCGTAATGCAAACAAAATGTTAGTTTAAATAATATTGAAAAATAAAATTGTCTTTTATATTCATACAATAATAATACTAATAAAAAAGCCAACAAAACATCCATTTAATATAAGACACGCATAGATAACATTTAATATAAATATATTGCAATTAATCCTTTAATAAAATAAATGTTTTCAAATGATAATAAAAGCTAAATAACAACAAAAAACATGATAGAGATAATGTATAACCAATTTGGACAGTTGGCTTATATAAATAAGTCATACACAGTATATGACAATACTATAAACATAAGACATAGGACACACACACACAGACATACATACATACCTTTGACAACGACGTTAATTTGATTGGACTTTCCGTCGGGTGCCCTACACGTGAACACACCGGTGTCTTCTGGCTTACTATAATAGATTGATAGCCTGTACTTCCAGGCCTGTGGATCAGTATTAATGGCCCATCCGTTCGTATATTGTCTAACCAACAAAAAAAACAGTGAGATAATGGGTGAGATATATATATATATACAGTATATAATATATACTATATATATATATATATATATAAAGATAGAAAAGATATATTAGTTAAGAGTTAGTCAGTAAGTCTATGAATGTGTCAAATAAACAAACAAACAAAGAGAGAGAAAGAGAGAGAGAGAGAGAGCACTAGTTTTCTCACTATTATGTCATTACTTATCACAGCTCTCTCTCTCTCTCTCTCTCTCTCTCTCTCTCTCTCTCTCTCTCTCTCTCTCTCTCTCTCTCTCTCTCTCTTACTTTTTTTATATATGTGTGTGTGTTGTCTGGTTGTGTGATGTCATTGAATATCCAACACATTACCAGATTTTGATTTATGGATTAGCACTCTTTTTTAGACACACACACACACACACACACACATACACACACACACACACACATACATACATACACACACACACACACACACACACACACACACATACATACATACACACACACACACACACACACACACACACACACACCCATACTCATACACTCACACAATACTAAAAAACACAAAGTAGGAAAAAATAATACATTATTTTTTTGTCCAACAAATCCAACTCAACAACAAAAATACTGTCGTATTTTTTCAGACTCTATTTAGACTTTTTTTTAAATAAAATATATACTGACTTTAAATACAAGATAATGTCGGATAAAATAATGGATTGTCTTAAAACACATACAAACACACACTTAAACTTCCACTATTAATAACTCACTGAATATTTATTATTATATAATTTATATATATATAAGTGCAGTATATTTATCAATAAATCGGTTATAAATTTTATAGTTAGTTCACATATCCTAAAATTTACTAAAAGATATCAATATATATATATAGTTCACGTATCTTATAAATAAATACTGTATTCAGTAAACTATAATATAATTTATAGACATTATATACTATAGAATAGTATATATTTGTGACTATAGAAAACCAAAGAAAAAAATGATTGTAATTTATAGGGGTTTCAAAATAAAAGCAATTTATATATATATATATCAATACAGTATATAGATAAGTAAATATATTTATACAAAACACACACATATATATACAGTATATATATATAAATTAATCTTATTTTCACGAATCGTCCAATTATTTTGTCGTATATTTATATTTTTATAAAATAAATAAATAAAACAAATTTATTAGTTTTATTAATTTATAATATTATTTACATTTTAAATGCACAAAAAATAGTTTTTAATTATTTTGTTAATATTTACTCAAAATTATTAACCCAATTACTAAAAAAATATTTAAATTTATTCTTAATATTTAATATAATATTACTTTAAACTATAATTTCAATAAAACATTTTCTCAGTAAAATATTTTCTAAATAAACTACAAAAATGTTTATAATTACAAAATTAGTTTTTTTTAATAATTTTGAATTTTTATATTTAATTAAATATACATTTTTTCTAAAGAATTTAAAATATTATTTATATTTTTGCAAAAAAAACTATAGTTTAAATTTTTTTAATAATAATTTAATGAGTCTATTAAATTAAATTTTGTAGAAAAATTTTTTTTTTAAAAATAATTTAATACTTGATTTAGTTTATTTAATAGTTAAATTAAATCAAACATATTTTTATTAAATTAAAATTACTGCCAATTTTTTTTTATAAAAAAACAAAGTTTTTTTTGTTGATATTGTAATTATTAACAATTTATTGTTAATTATTATCATCAACAACAACAATAAAATTAAGTAAATTTCATTAAGTAATGAAAATAAAAATTTTATCATTTATATAATTACTATAATACACAATCACATTCAATGTATAGTACTGTATTTAATGTAGATTAATCTAAATAATAAAAAATTTATGCAAATTTAATGTTTAATTATAAACATTGTTATATACTGTATATATATATATACAGTATATAACATTAACACTATATTTAAGCGCCCAACTAAAAGACCGTTTCGTTTAGCATTAATAATATATAACATAAAATTATATATCGGTATAACAACATTAATGTATTAGTTCATTATAAATAAATTTATAATTAGTGTATTTTATATAATAACAGTATAATACTGAATACACTTTACTATTACATTATTATTATTATTATTATTGAAAGCAATATACTGTATACACAATACATATTCATATACTGAATACAGTATATATATATATATATTTATAAACTAAAAGTGTTTTTGTTGTTGTAATTAAAATGTAATACCTGTGAGTGTTTGTCCAATTCCAGGTGGGATTACCATTGGTTCGCTGATATAGACAGTCGATATGGATAATAGTGCCGGGAATTAGTATAAGCTGGCCCTCGGAGTCTACGCCCGATATGCCGTCGGCTATTGTGTACACTATAGATGGTGAGGTATCCACTAATAAACAAAAAAAAAACAAAAAAAAACAAAAAAAATAAAATAAAATATACGTAAATAAGTAAAATGTTATTAAATTTAAAAATTTTTTATGTATAAATATGACTTGAATACTGTACATATATTTTTTTCTAGTAATAAATTTATTATTAGAATAAATTATATAATAATTTCTAAATTATAAATTTAAATTTATTCCTGTAGAAAAAAAACATTACTATAATTTTGTTTTTAGTATATTTTATACATTAAATATTTTTTTTTATTATTATGATTTGTCTCAAATGATAACTATAACTAACTTTAATAATTCAACATTATAAAATTTTTAATTTAATATTAAAGTACAATGTTTCACTGTATTATGAATTATATATACACATAGTATGATTAATTCAAAATTCTAATATTATAATTTATATATATATATAAGGTTTACGATTAGCTATAATCATGTTATGCAAAATTTTATTTTATTTTTTTTTGTAATATATGTACAGTATAATTTTTTAAATTGTATTTTTTTGCATACTTAATGTTTAAATCATACAGTATTTTTTAAAATATATACATATAATAAAATTTTAAAGTAGCTCATAATAATTTTTTGTTATACTTTTATTATTTTGTAAAATATATTCACATAAAATTTTACAATTACATAGTTGAAAAATATTCAGTATATATTTATATATACTTATTTGAATATCAAATGATATTTCAATGAATAGTTTTTTTGTGTCAAAATTGTGTTCATTTGGCTTAATAATAGGTCCTCTAAATATTCAATTTGATGTCTAACACAATATATCTCATTAAATGTTAACAATTTTCTCTCTCTCTCTCTCTCTCTCTCTCTCTCTCTCTAACTGAACGCTAATATAAAACACATTTGCTTTTAACGTTTCAATCGGTTTCCGATCGTTTCCTTTACTATACATTTTCCCGAAGAAAATATTATCTAACTGTGCTATCAATGGTTCACTTATGTGAATCCATTTACAAATAGATCGATGTATTGAAGCGAATATTTCAATAATATATAGTATTATAAAATATTATATATATATATATATATATATATTAATATAAATAATCTCAAAATCTATAGACTAAAAAATATAGTATAATTTTTTTCAACTCATTTTTTTGTTGTTGCCAGTGATTTACATTCAATTTTTTTAAAAAAATATAATATAATATTATATCACATATACAAAAATATAACTTATTTTTCCTATAATACATACATTAGATAAATGATGTGCCATTTAATGTTAACATAATAAAAAAATAGGCTATTTTAAAAAATAATAATAATGTTTCTACTATTTTCAAAAAAAAAATAGTTTAACAGCTAAAAAACTATATATATAAATTTCTACAAAAAATATATATATTATTAACAGTATAAGCGCCCCACACATAGATTTAGCATTATAAAAAATTAAACATTATCATTATTATTATTATATTTTACCTGAAAAATTTTTATGTAATGTTGTTGCCTCGCACCGGGGCATTACAGTATCCCAGAGTCCATCAACACAATGCATACTAGTATTGCCTACAAACCTATAAAGACCAATCTCCTCGCATCGCACCTGTATATAAATATAAAAATGACATAACAATAAAAAAATGGCAAATATTTTTTTTAAAACAAATTTACGATAATACAGTAAATTATTATATATTTTAGTTGGTTAAACATTTATTTATATATTAATAAAATTATCATTTTAATAACTATTTAAAAATATGTTTAAAAAAAATATTTCCCAGTTTAAATAAGGGTAAATAAAAATATCAATGTTAATTTAATTTCAAATACTACCGTATTTATTGGATAAATAGTGTGTAAAACATATAAAAAAATATAATAGCAATAATAATAATAATATTTGTAATATAGTTTTTATAATAATAATAATAATAATAATAATAATATATTGAATTTAACATTTATGTTCATATGTTTTATGTGTGTACACAAGTTATTTAATATGTTATATACTGTAATAGATTTTCAAAATACTGGATATTTATATATATATATTTGAATTACACATAAAAAAATATTTATATCAAATATATTCACTATTATTATATATTTAGTATATAATATATTAATACAGTATATTATCTACAGTACTATATTACATAAACTCATTTGGCTTTCAATGATTTACTCCTAAAATGCCATAACATATTAGTATTATAATATACTAGTCATATATATTTTAATAACTGTCTAACAGATAATATGTGGATATAAATAAAACATACAAAACATTAGATGTTTTTGCAATTTTCTATTATTTACATGATTTTGAGATTTTTGTAAAACTAAAATATGACATTACTTTATATATATATAGACATATAAATTATCATTATTGTGATTAGCATTATTAATATTATTATTACATTATTAAATTATACATTTTATTTTTAACAATATTTTTTTACTAGAAAAATTTTATAATAAATTTTGTTAATTTTTGTTTTATTTATTTTATTTTTGTTTTAATTTTCTATTTCAAATAAATAATAATAGTCTACAGTACTGTATTTATATATATATATATATATCTAATTATAGTTTATTAGATATATATATACACATTAGTAAGTGAAAAAAAGCAAAAATTGTGTATATAATTAAATTAAATTGAAAGGCGCAAATAAAATAACAATCGCATAATTAAAATAAATTGCTTGACATTTATATGTCAACAATTATTTACTAGTACATCAATTTTTATTACTACCAGTATATTGTATTTTATTTTATTAGATAATATCTTGCAATTTCTAACTTAATAATTTTTTTTATATATTAATATATACAGTATATGTTTACGTTAGATAAAATTTTCTTAAATTATAATGAATAGAAATCAATTTATTATTATTATTATTATTGAATCAAGCTAATCAATTTTGATCAATATAAAAAATATATTTATTAAAATTTTATTTATTTTTTTTAGATATTAAATGATATATGTTTTAAAAACTATTAATTAATTATTTTTAAATACAAATTGATTTCAAT